CCTGCCTAGCCTGCTCCCTCTTGAAAAGGAGTTGGCGGTTAATGACCGTTTGACGGCTGCAACCCGAGAGTATGAAGGCCAACTTTCCGGCCCCGAATGTGTGATTGTTGTCAAAGGTAGAGTTTCTATTTGAGTCCAAATTTTCTGCATAGATTCGCTTTATACGGGCACTCTCAATGGAAGTGTTGTCAAAATAGACAAAAACGGAGTGAAGACTTTTGCACGATTTGGACCCGAGGGATGCTGTGAGTTTCTTTTTTCAAAGACATCGGTACAATATGAAGGCTTGCTGTTTGTCTGTCTGAAATCAAAATCCCTCTCGCAGGCTTTCAGGGATCAAACTCCGCCTCATTCTGTATCATAGCAGTATGCGTGACTATTCTGGTAGTCTAAACGGGACGACTGTCTTCTTAAGAGGCGAACCGTGCACTGCCCCCGTAGGAAGCAGTGAATCGTCGAACAGTTTACATAGGGTATATTGACACACATTGATCAACGTTCACTGACCACTAACGGAACTCACCTGTGCCGCCCTGCCTTGGGTCTCGACAGCTGGATTTAGGCAGATAGTATTGCCGGCAAAGACACGGGCGACTGGAATGGCCATTTCTGGCTCATTAGCCGTTGTCAGCCAGTCACACCCAGACCCAAGTGGTGTCCCACCCGAGTCTCCAACTCGCAACCTTTTTGGTCAGAGTCAAACGCCCTATCATTGAGCTACGAGCTCGGGTGCGATACCACTTGGGTCTGTGTATGACTGGCTGACGACGGCTAATGAGCCAAAAATGGCCATTCCAGGCTCCCTTGTCTTTGTCGGCAATACTATCTGCATAGGGTAGATTCTCTGTCTCTTGAAATGTCAATTAAAATTCTGAAGGTTGTTTGCTATTCGAACACGCTACTTATCTAGGGGTGTAATATAGATTATTGGCCAACCTAATCTCAAAATGCTTCATTCACCTCAGCATGCCGGCTCTTAAACAAGCTTCCTTCTGACAACCTCCAGGAATGGCTACTTAAGTAGTTTGCATTATCGCATTTATTTTCAAAGCTCTTAATATGTTTTATAGAAAACATATACAAATATATGCTTTCATGTAGCCGTTTGATAGAAAATTACGTCTCCTTCAAAGTTTATACTACAAGAGGTTACCTTTCGGTATTAAACGCCTTTCTACATTGCTGAATAACTTTGAACTCTACGAGCCATTCACTTCAATTCAATATTTCTAAACTACGTGCTCTTTACATTCTGTCTGCGAAAAATCACACGTTCCTGTACCCTATGATTAAGAAGGCAAATGGGCCCCATGACAGTTGGCAATGGGTGTGGATCATGTATATTTTATAGGCAACATTGATAAAAAATTTTGAAAAATCTTATTATTGGTAACTTTTTTAAGACCAAAAGATACCCTGTCTTCAAGTACAAAATTGACGAAAACGTAATTTTCTACCCAACGACTATAAGAAAGAATATTTTTGTGCATGTTTTCTACAAAATATATCAGAGCTTTTAAGAGCTTTGAAAAGCAGTGAGGAAAAGACATACTATTTTCGTAGGCATTTTCTCCGGAGTATGCTTCCTGTGGGTAGTCAGAAAGAAACTCGTTCAAAAGCTAGCATCCTGACGCGACTGAGATATCTAGAGTTTAGGGCGGCTGATAACAATATTGTATGCCTACTTACGTAACGTGTTCAAGTCGATAATGAATTTCAGGATGTCTATTGACATTTAATGAGATAGGAAATATACATAATGTGCATTTGAATAGTCTGCTGTCTCAGTTTACACGCCAAAATCACAAACAGACAAGCCGGCGGCAAGAATTCCTTAAAAGACATCCTCAAAAAGATTTGCCCATTTGTGCCGGGACCTCGAATGCCAGGATTTGACTGAAGACTCCCCTGGAAGCCTTTTGTGGAGATTGGGTGGTTGGAGAATGACCATTTGTAACTAAACTCCGTTTCGTTTAAAAATTTACTTATTTTGCCTGTTAGTTCGGACAATGGTCTCATTGGGCCACTGTGCTATATCTCCACCGTTACAGCGCTGGCATTGGCATTCTGGCTGCATCTGGAGAAAGCGGCTTACGCCTGATTCTTGCTCGGTCATCTCGACTTTGTCTTGTCACCGGTTAAAGCGGATGAGGGTTTAGAGTTTGGTAGATAGCGGCTCGTCTACTTTCACTATACCTGGCCACAGTCACCGTCCCTGTTTTCGGGCAAATGGTGGACATCACCGATTACGGTGTTCGAACTTACACACAGCGCTGGCAAGAAGCAAACATTCTGTTCTTCTCGTTTTGTTACTTTTCCGCGATTTTAAGGCAGAAAGGGTTCATAGCTCAAAAGTCGACTTTTCGATTGCCTTCAGATGGGACAGATATTGCAGCATCTAAATCTGCCATGTTCCTGCATGTCAGAGTAAAGTTCGATTCACGCATGACACAAAGCTTCGCTATAATCAGATTCCAGTGAACTGAATGTATTTCATCCTGAAGGTTTTGACCAGCGAGCTGGAGAGCACTGGCACCAGATAGTTTACATGTACTTTCTGCAAATATATGCATAGTTTTGATTAATGCGCTTATGATGGGATTATTCGCCTGAACTATCTTCAGCCTCCGTGGAGACCTGCGGACGTCCACTTGGTCTGCACTACGATGAGCCAAGAAATCGACTTCTTGTCGTGGATGCCTACCTTGGTCTCTTCGCCATTGATTTGCAGACAGGCAAGGGGGCTCTGAGTCCGTTATTTTGTTTCAGCCTTTTGTTTTCTTTTCATTCCGTGGGTGTATATGTATGTCCTTGCTGTTTATTATTCCACATGTTTGTCTCTCAAGGCAGATATCCTATCATCACATAAAATCAAGGATCACACACTTTAGATAAAATGTAATTCTAGGAGCCTTGATAGGTACCTTATATAATTTTTGGCATGCTAACTTGTGTCGACTTTAGCCGGACAAATCTCGGCCCTGAACCCCTTCATCTTAGAATAAACCGAAAGATGCTACACTTATTACCCTGTCGTGCTAACCCATCTCATGGACAGAGTAGGATATAGGCAGAAATACATTACGGACAAGGACAAGGGACATTGTAATGTCCATCTCTAACTAACAGGGTTCCAGTTTTGGGCCCCGAGGGCCTTTGGGGTTGGGTATGGCTGGCTGATGAAGGCTAATAAGCCCGAAATGAACTTAAATATACTGATGCATACCGCGAGCAGAAATTAATGTTTAAGGAAATTAAAAAGCTGAACTTTAAATACCGGTATATCAGCCAGAAAGCAAATAGGGCAAGCTGGGGGACCCACTGATGAACCGGAATCCAAGCGGCTGTGTCAGGCAGCGGCAGAATACCGGCGAAACACGTGTCTGGGCATTTTAACTAGTACCCGGGCTGTTAGTATGGTAAGTTACAACATCAATATATACTACTAAAGTCTGTCCGTCGGCAGCGGGTATATATTACACAGTAGTTGACGGGTTTCAGCCCAAATATACAGTTACAATTTCTGTCTATGTCTATAGACCTTAAATATACTGATGTATGCCGCGAGTAGAAATTAATTTTTAACGAAATTAAAAAGCTGAATGTTTTCTGCCGTTGAGAGGCTGCTGACGACTCGAGAGCGAGTCCTAGGGCACAGCGGATCCAGTGAGTTCCGGAACCGATCGGTGGGCGCCTATCTATCATAGAGTTGAATATAATTGTCCGTGTTCACGTATTTGCTGATCACATATTTAACTTAAACCGTCGCTCCTCCTCAGTACAACTGAGCGCTAGCGCTATGAACCATGTCAAAGAGTAGGTGAGGTAAGGATTACTTATGTGGCTCTGCAAAATAACTTGGCGTTTCGTAATGCAGCTGGCATTCCACTAAATTCCAGGGACCTCGGGGCTAGGGTTCTGGTAAGTTTATAGTTTGTCAATTAATAGAAATTATTTATCGTAAGGAAGAAGAAGACGCGATCTCTGGAACGGCAATTTCATTCTTCTGAGATCGCTTCTTCTTCTTTACAACAAGAACCTAGGGCACGCATATTTGCTTCTAGATAATTTATCTTTTACCATATTAACAGCCCAACAGGCTTTACATTTTGTTTTTGTTATTCCTGAGCACATGTGTACGTCCTCAAATCAGTTGCACTAATCTTGAAGGTCCGCACTGCAGTTATTTTACCTGGCTGTTTAAGGATTCCGCATGATTGTCTCTCAAGGCAGACATCAGTTAGTGGTTTGCATACTTTGGAGAGAAAACAAGAGCTCCTGTGCGTATGTTATTTACGTTTTGGCATGCTAACGCGTGTCGACCCTAGCCAGAAGGATCTCGGCTCTGGGATTCTGTGCCACAAAATGCATCGGAAGATGGCACACTTACTAACCAGGCCTGCTAACCCAGCTTATTGATCCAGCCTCAGCCCATGTATTTGTTGATCACATATTTCGCCTACATTGTCGCT